AATTCTTCCTTTTTCATTTTTAGAGATAATTCTTTTTGGCCCCGACCACGACGGTCATGCCCAAGGCATCTAAAAAAACCAAACAATGTCATAAAATATAAATACAGGCATTAGAATAACATTGATCAAAAATAATTTTAAAAGATGGGTCTTAGTATTTCTTTTTAGCCAAGAGAGTAAGGTTTAAAGTAAACCGTGGTTAGAATGCAGTATTGCTAAACTATATGAAGAACAGTTGCAGGAATTGGTATGTCTAGTTTAATGAAAAGAAGGACTAGTAGGGGTGACATGATAGCAGTCTTCCAATATCTCAGGGGCTGCCACAAAGAAGAGGGAGTCAAGCTATTCTCCAAAGCGCCTGAAGGCAGAAGAAGAAGCAACGGTTGAAAAATAATCAAGAAGAGAAGCAACCTAGAACTAAGAAGAAATTTCCTGAGAGTGCGAACAATTAATCAGTGGAACACTTGCCTTCAGAAAGAAAACAGAAGCATAATCTTTTAGGAAATATATTTAACTTGGTTTAGAACTTAAATAAAATACAAAACTGCAAGATGTCTTGAATTTAAGAATCTAGTCTGCCTTCACTGAAGCCTCATCTCTCAAATATCAATAAACCGGATTCCAGAATATCTTAAGACACAATATATAAATCCTTGGAAAGGACTCCTTCACTCAACCCATTTGCTTTCTCTGTCATACTCACAATTCTGTGCTTCATCGCGCTCCTCCACAGCAATGGCGCTCTGGAAGCTAAAATCCATAGCTTTCATGTGCCTCAGCATAGCATCAACCTCAGCTATCTTCTGACGAAACTCTTCTGCAGAGGTAGAACTAGTGTTGGCTGTGGTAAAAGTGTTCATCAGATGTATGAGATCTATATAAAAAGCCACAACAATTGAGGTGCATGATTTTTTGGACAGACTATGCGCATATAAAAGCTCTCAACTTGATTTCCCTTTAAAAGAAAGCCAATTCTCTCCGGATTCGAAAATATTGTCAGATTCAGTATTCAGAACCAGCACTGTTTATAGCAAACTAATACCGCACTGAGTCTCTTCCCATGGAGGTTTTTGATATCATTTTATTTCTTTTTGCAAGCCATTATTCCACTACATTCTTCCCTTTTTTACATTTACCAGGATGTGCAACCGTGCTAGTATCAGGCCTACATTTGTATCTGTTCAACGGTTATACAGGTACTCCTCAACTGAGCCTAAAAGTTATGTTGCTAAGTGAGAAATTTGTTAAGGGAGTTTTACCCCATTTTATGACTTGGCTTGTCGCAATTGTGAAGTGAACCACTGCAGTTTAGTTAGTAACATGGTCGTTAAAGTGAATCTGGCTTCCCCATTGACTTTGCTTGTCAGAAGGTCACAAAAGGGGATCATATGACCCTGGGACACTGCAACTGTCATAAATATGAACCAGTTGCCAAGCATCCAAATTTTGATCACGTGACCCCGGGGATGCTGCAATGGTCATAAGTGTGAAAAATGGTCACAAGTCACTTTTTCCAGTGCCATTGTAACTAAACAAACTGTTGTAAGTCAAGGACTACCTGTACACATCACAAAACTAAGTATACCCCTATCTTTCCAATACACATTCAAGCTTACAAACATTTTCCATCTTTCAGCTACCAAAATGCCTTTTAAATATATAACTAAGGGAAATAATTTCAGTATGAAAGAACCCCTGGACTGTGACCATCTTCTGCTTTCTGTTTTTCAATGATTTACATGTACTCCTTGACTTACGACCGCAANAAGGAGAAACTTCCTGACAGTTAGAACAATTAACCAGTGGAACAACCTGCCTCCAGAAGCGGTGAATGCTCCAACACTGGAAGTTTTTAAGAAGAGACTGGACAGCCATTTGTCCGAAATGGTATAGGGTTTCCTGCCTGAGCAGGGGGTTGGACTAGATGACCTTCAAGGTCCCTTCCAACTTTACTATTATTATTATATTATTATTATTACTTCTCTGTCCCAAGCAGCATTCTGAAACATTACCTCAGGATCAAAAAAGCCAACATACTTTCTCTTCCTCCCTAACCTTGCAAGCTTTTTCCCTGTGTAGTATTCACAAAACAATTATAGGTAGTGCTCGACTTACGACCACAGTTGAGCCCAAAACTTATGCCGTTAAGTGAGACATGTGTTCAGTGAGTTTTGCCCCAGTTTACGGCCTTTCTAGCTTGTCAGGGTTCCGACAGATGAAACTCTTCAAAGAACTTTGAGGCATTGTTTACCTTAAAGAATCTTTATTTGAGTAGCATAGCATCGGCATTAACACAAGGGAAGCCAAAAACTGGGCACATCTTATCAAAGCACAATTCCTTCCTTCAGTTAATAGTCATAAATCACATTCTCCAATTAGTTTGAAATGCGGGCTTCCCCTCCAGCTCGCCAATTCTTTATCATCTCTTATTTCAATAACCTTGGTTCTCACACTAGGTTCAGTATTATTATGTCTAGCTAGACCAGTGGTTCTCAACCTTTTTAATGCCGTGACCCCAACCGGTCGTAAGTCGAGGACTAAACCGGTTGTAAGTCGAGGACTAAACCGGTTGTAAGTCGAGGACTACCCAACTGGTCGTAAGTCGAGGACTTTCCCTGCCAGGGAGCGCCGCACATGCGTGGTTCCGCCCCCTGCGCCGGCCGAGGCGTAGCTGGCAAGCGGCAGAGACGGAGCAGGCCGACCACCAGCTGGCCCAGCCCAAGGGAGGTAAGGCACCTGCCGGAAAAGGGAAAAAAAATGGCGGACAAAAAAAATGGCGGACAGCCTTGCTTGGCGACCCCCGTGAAATGGTCGATCGACCCCAAATGGGGTCCCGACCCACAGGTTGAGAACCACTGAGCTAGACTCTCATGCACATTCTCCCCCTCCCCCAGCATCATCTAACTCTAAAAGCAAAAAGAAGAAAATGGTTGCATCTCCATCTGTTGTCAATGCAAAAACATCCTATGTTAGCAGCATTGACAGAACTATTGTAAGTCGAGGACTACCTGTATTGTGCAGATCACATCCTTTTGTTAGTTCTCACATCCCCACCTCCTGGGTTCCTAGAGCCACGTGTCCAGAGAAGCCTATCGCTTACATCACTTACCTCTTTTGCCTTTATAATTGTCTGCAGATGTTCAGAGATCTTCCCCAAGGAGTCTTTAGCCATTCTCAAAGTAGCCTGGATTGTGCCATATTGTTTCTCCATTTCCTTGCTCTTTAGCTGTTAGACATGAGAGAACATTAAATACTAATGCATAACCAGCGTCTGATCATAAAAGTCCAGTACGCTCTGCTCATCGTCCATTTATACACCCGTTTCTGTTTGTTACAATATGTGTTTTCGTTGTTTTAGTTCTTTTTCCTCTTTTTTTTTAAATTCTCTGTATTTACTTGCAGAACAATTCCCCTATTTTTCTGCTACAGATAGTCCTTGACTTACAACCATTCATTTAGCGACCGTTCGAACTTACAATGGCACCGAGAAAAGTGACCATTTTTCACACTTAGGACCACTGCACCATTCCCCAGGGTCACCTGATCAAACTTCGGACACTTGGCAACTGGTTCTTATTTATGACGGTTGCCGTGTCCCGGGGTCAGGTGATCCCCTTTTGCGACCTTATGATAAGCAAAGTCAATGGGGGAAGCCAGATTCACTTAACAACCGTGTTACTAACTGAACCACTGCAGTGATTCACCTAACAACTGTGACGAGAAACAACTGTGTTGTTTAGCAACATATATTTTGGGTTCAATTGTCCAAATGGTGATCATGTGACTATGGGGATGCTGCAATGGTCGTAAGTCTGAAAAACAATCATAAGTCACTTTTCTCAGTGCTGTTGTAATTTGAAGGGTCATTAAACAAATGTTTGTAAGTCAAGGACTACCTGTATCCCAAAATATCCTGGGGCATTTATTTATTTATTTGATTTGTATCCCGCCCTTCTCCTTACCGGACTCAGGGCGGCATACTGTGTTTCCTCAAAAATAAGACCCAACTGGAAAATAAGCCCTAGTTTGATTTTTCACGATGCTCGTAATATAAGCCCCACCCCCAAAATAAGCCCCAGTTAAGATCGTCAGCCAGATGGACGCATTTAGTACCGTATTTCCCCAAATATAAGCCCTAACTGGAAAATAAGCCCTAATGCATCTTATTTTCGGGGAAATATAGTAGTAATTCATTCTGCAGCCCGAAGTTTCAGTTTCTACCTGTGTTTCCTCTAAGTGATTACGATTCAGGCTGTTGAGGTCCTCTGTCTGTCGGGTTTTATT